CCACTCTCTCTCAGTAAAGACTCCATATCTCACCCTAGCTTTCTCTCCCTTTTCCTTAGCCATGCTGCACTTTTAAGACCTATTTTTACGCATTTATTCTGAAAATACGCTGGTCTTTCACCACACATTTGTAAGAATTGCTTGATTTTGCAGCTCTTGACATCTGAAAACATAGTGCCACCTTTAGTTCCTTCCATTTTTTGCTTTATTTCAGTATAAATTATACAACTTCCTCTACATCTTCCCCACAGTTTTCCTATTCTATTCTCACTTTTCTGCTTTTTTTGGTGGCTCAAATGATTGCCTACAGGGATTCACCACAGCCACAACATCCTTCTGGAGCACACTCAGATCACAGCACTACACTTGAAACACTAGAGGTTGCTAAAGCCTGTGTTTGTTCATTGAATTTTCTCAAGTGAAACAACATGATAGATCTTACTGAATTGAAGTAATGGTAGGAAAATTCCCCCTACTCTAAAAGTACTTAAACTAGCACTAGACAATTCATTCTCTGAATTCTCTTGCTCTTAAACTGTTAACAAAATGCAGAACAAAAGATCCTGTTCCAGTGTGTAAAAAGCATCTATGATAAATACAGCTTATCTGGGATACAGGAAATCAAGGATAAATGCAGGATCAAGGATTTAATCTTTAGGATCTATTTACACTTTTTTAAACACGAAAGTTTCTGACCTAAGAGTAGTTGGTTGCCTTGTTTTAAAATATGTATTTTAAGAATACTGCCAGAAAAAAAGGGTATATATAAATTTTAAAAAGAAATGTTATGTAAATTAATAATTTTATGTAAGACCAGATACACATACTGTATACATAAGATTGTGCCTCATGTCAGACAATATCTCTGCAAGATACTTCTCCAGGTGGATTTTTGATTCTTATATTGTAGGCTTCTCATTGGGTTGAGGAGTAGCAGTGGTGATTTAAATATGTCCCCTAGTCTTATACATGCAAGCCTTTAGCTAACAAAGGGTAGCCAACCCATGTCTATTACTGTTCTGATTAGCAAAATCAGTACAAGTTGATCGCCTGACAAGGGGAGACTGTACTGAAGCACTAGCCATGACTATGGTTATCAATTTTCACAGCTGTGTGAGAATCCTGACTGGAGTAGTTTTGTTCCCTAGCATCCCAGCTCCTGGAGTCAAGTTATTGTGTAAAGAGCTCGTACTGTGTTCTCTTGAAAAAAAGTCTGCTTAGCCAAAAAATTATAATGTGACACATACCTGCCATTCCCTCATAATGAAAAACAAATAGGAAGACACCCAGATGGGTTATTTTTAGTAACTGCATGGTTTCATAGGCTTACTTTATAAGTAGTGAACACTTGGGGCTGCCAATCTGTGAATAGTCTTTGGAGGAGCTGCTTGGGCCCCTTTCCAACCTCTCTTCCTGACAGGAATTTCTATGAGGGGGGTAGGGAGTTTTTAATGAACTCACCCTGACATCTGGGCTGGGGGAAGCTAACAGGCTGCCTTTGTTCCCAGCAATTCCAGTGGTTTCCAGTACACTCCGAAGTCCCTCAGAATATTCTTGTTTCAGGAAGGGAAAGCAAAACCATGAGAGGAGATCCTGAGTATGGTAGCAAAAGCTGGCCCCCACTTCCAGGAGGATACACATGTGGGGGAATGGCAGGGCCAGCTGGTTGGACAAGGTCCCCACTGTGGCAGGCAGGATGTCCCATGTGATGACATCAGATTGGAAGGTTGCCCAGCTTGCGTGAGCCCATCACATAGCTTCTATAAGCTATATTTAGAGAGAATAATAGATGAGACATATGGTGCCTGATTCTCCTTCAACCTCAAGTCTACTCATGTACATGAACAGACTCCCATTGATTTCAATGGCTAAGACACCATTTCAACACCAGGAGCATGACTGATTTTACAATGCTAATGAAGGTGAAGTTCAGCCTGAGTAAAAAGCACACAGTTCTGTTCTGTGTGCAGCTGATGCTTTAAAAATAGCAGGGGAAAGATCAACTGTCTTAGCTCTCCCCTTCCTGCAAGGGCCTGTTAACACATTGTAAGCCTTTTCTGCTTGACTTACTAAGACGTTGCTGAACTTCTCTAACAAAATCTATTTTATAAATAAACTTTGTTACTATGGTTGGTCAGAGTTGAGTCTCTGGTCAGAGACTAAAGCAAAGTCCTTTTGATGGCTTAGTCATTCTTTGCAGTTTAAACCTACGTAGTTGGAGAAAGAAGAGTTGAAAGCATCCTGGGCTGAGCCCAACTCGTTGTCTTACAAGAACTATGGAAAGCAGTGCAAAATTTACAATGCAAATGAAAATCAGTTTGTGCGTGTTCCTTGGCCATTATGTGAAACAGACCTTGCTTCGTAATGCTGCTGATCTCTGTATAGTCATAAAACAGAGATTTATTTGCTTCTCATCTCCGTCAATTAACTGCTACAGATGTTGGACAATTATGTTGCATGAGTGTGCTGCGCCTTCATTAGTTTTCTTCTTTTTTCTGAGTCTTCTTTTACTGATTTTGAAAGCTTCCCAGCTATCAAAACTCCACTTAAAGTGCCTAAGATAAGAAACAAGCCCACGGCAGCAACATGGTATGATACTGGAATAAATAAAGCATTTGTTGACTCATGACCCATTGAGATCAGAAGCCCTCAAGAGTGTTTTATGCTAAAATAAATAAATAGATCTCTGAAGTTAGCTGATTGCTCCATGCAGAGCAGGCTCAACACTTAGTGTAACATTTGCCTCAACAGCACAAAAGCAGGCAGAGAGCTGCCCTGCAGCTCTGCTGTTCCAGACAGAGGAGAATCCAAGCAGCGCTATGCCTACTCTGTACCACCAGCTCTCCCCATCTTCTCTGAAGAAGACATGTCAGCACAGGGCAGAAAGCGCAGCCTCAGGCTTGTTTGAATTATATAGAGTTCTAAACAGTCCCCAGCTGGCCCAGGATCAGAGGAATGGACTTAAGTTGCTTAAAGCCACCTTTCTCACTGCTTACCAGATGTTTTTCAGCTATGCAGAGGGTGAAATAGGTTCAGTAGAGAAACTATCCTCAGACACAGCTTGGTATTAATTCTCTGACTCCTTATGTCGTGATGTACCTTCTGTGACCTGGCTAACAAGGAAATCCAGTGGTACTCTACATGTCTGAATAAGCTCCCTTGCTAAGCCTTCAGCTGCTCTGCATTTCATGCTGGACTGATACTAGTTCTCAGTTAAAACAGTGAGCCCAGCATTCATCACAGTGATTTTAATTTGACAAGACATAGGTTGGTGATCAATTTAGGGCACAGTTCATACCTTCTTAATTTGGAAGACACCAAGCATAGGCTACACACATCTGAAGCAAACAATGACAAGCCATTATAATCAAGTACAACTACAACAAAGTGACCTTATTGATCTTGCAGTACCCCACACTTATACATTTTAAATATTGAAGCCTTGATGTGAACATTACACTTTAGTGATGGAGGACCAGTCCCTTTTAGACAAGAAATCACTTTTCTAGGCATTGATTTCTGGACTCTGGTATAGTATGTCTCACTTGAAGTCCTTAGGGGGAGTACTTGCTGCAAAGCATTTCTTATGGTGACTGCAAGGAAAATGCAATGGTTTTAGCAATTCACAATAGTTTCACACACTTCAATACCGGTAAGTGTGGGAACTTAACAGTTTCAGGCTGTGGCGAATTACTGGTGAAGTAATTTTGAGAGATCCTTGTGTTGGATTCTGTTGCATGTAATACAAACAGAAAATGCAATACAGAACCACACTCATGGTTTAAAGTTATTTAAAAGTTATTTAAACTTATTTAAAAATTCTGAATCTGCTGCTCTGAGTCCAGCAGAATTTACTTCTGAGTAGGCATGGCGTTTTTGTATTGCTCTGTAAGTGAGCGTTTATCTCAAGATCTTCAAGGTGGTCTAGCCCTTTTACTTTTGTTGCTATGAGATCACTGTCCTTAGATGTCACTGCCTTCCCTGATGTACAGGCTTGGGACAATATACTTTCTGTTTCATCTGATCACTCTTTTACATTGGAACTTTCTTTCTCTGTATGCAGATCTCCATAAAATCTGAAAAATTTTCTCATCTATGTTAAACTACAATGTACCATCACTGATCAGTCAGAGCTGGCCCCAAAGTGACTTTGTTACCATTTTCATCAGGCGCTGCTTGCTATGATGTCAACTGGTCTGCACAGAGGCGTTAGATCTGCTCAGATTCTGGAGAAAGCATCTCTGCAGGGGTCCTCAGTGAAAAGGAGCAATCCCATCTATTGCACACTCATTACCTGAGCACAGAGAAGAGAGTAAGAATCTGAAGTCAGCCTAGAGTTGGTGCCCTCTGCCTGCCAGGGAGCCTGGCTGCAGCCTGAGCTGGGAGATTTCAGATATCAGGTGGATGGCTGGGTAGTATCAGATACTATCAGATACTGATCAGGACTGTGTTCTGTGTAATGACAATGCACCCCTCCTAAGAAAGTAGAAAGCATGAGGACAATGGTCAGACCACTGCATCTGAGTGGGCCAAAGTCAGAAAGTGGGTGTGGGACAAATAATTTTCTTGGAACACAGAATTCTTGAATTACTGGAGACTGCTCCTGATTTGTGGGTCTGTGCTTCCCAAACTCACCCTGGAAAGCTGACACACACGGCCAACCTAATCACCCCAGTAGGCCTGTCTCCAGGTACCTCTATGCTCTGGGATGTGTTGCATCTTCCAAATTCATACTTGAACCAGATGGTAGCAATTTTCGGAATGCAGATGCTGGCACAGACAATGAATCAGACATTTGTTACTCCAAAGAGATTTTAATGAAAAGAGCAACGGCCTTTATCCATCTCCCTGGCAGCTTCCAGAAAACAGGTAAGCATGAATCATGCTTCTAATCTCAGCTGTTGCATTAGGGATTAAAGAACTGAGCATGAGCCAGGGAAATAGCACCCCTTTTATGTTGTAACTGCACAAGTCCACGACTCCACTGCATCCACAAATACCATGTGCAATAAAAGCGTTGGACTGTGCTTGTTTGGGGATCCCTTGGCTTGAAGACGAAATTTTGCTGACTAGATGGATTGGTTTCTCACTACCCAGCAGAAGATTAGTCTGCAAAGAATTATTATCTTCAGTTGGCCATCTTGCCATCCCAAGGAGTGTGTCTACACATCCTGGCATCTCCAGTCGCCTGTCTTCTCCACATTGTAAATTCTTATTCCCCAGGCACAGTGGCTCCCAGTAACCTTCTAAAGCCGGAAAGCCACCTTCCTTGGGAATCATCCCCACAAGGCAGCAGGGTTAACTTTCTTATACTTAAACATAAGTAACAAACAAAATAAATGAACTAAAGTGGATACAATACACTCTGGGATATGGGGCATTAGTCTCTTGATGAATGCTGGTTTGTATGGGAATTGTCACGCTAATTTGGAGGGGGTATGACTTGGGGTTCACATGAAATCTGGGTCAAACTTGCACCGCCACAGATGGCAGAAGTACTTAGAACCAGTATAAAGATCATGGAACCACAGTTTCATTGTCAGCTCTTCTTTGGAAATATGGAAATCTTTGGAAAGTAAATTAAACACAACACAGATGTCTTCATGTTGCAAGCCAAAAAAAGTTTGAAAAGTCTGACATTTTAAAAAAAGAATTACTGTGAGTTCACATATACAGCAGAAATACAGACAAGCCAGCACATATAAGCATGTCTTCACATGCTCATTGTTGCTAGCAGAGAGATCTTAAAGATATTGTCCTGAAGGATTTGCAGTATTTACAGCATATCTGATAGCTGGACTCGTGCCAATGGGGCTCACCTGGTGTTTAAATAATACAATTTCCAAGACTAAACAAATTTGTCATATTGGAGAAAACAATGTAAAAGGTTTTCCTCTCTTTTTGACAAACAGGCACTTTAAACTTCTAAGTTTGTGGCAATACTGTTTTTCAGTGTTCCTGATAGGTAATTAAATGAACCAAATTGTTTAGTGTATCATGTGTTAGGGCAGTATACCTAAACAGAGTATTTTAGCAAGTTCATTAGATGCATGATAGGAAAGCATTATATACATTTGTTTTGTAGGTATATTTTATTTAAAACTATGTAAGAGCTGAATGGGTAGATTTTAATCTGGCATTTCAAATTTGCTTCACTTTTCTCAGAGGGCAAAATTATGATATTCACCTATAGATAAAAAAGGAGTTTGTGTAAAAGAGAAGCATTAGAAGTTGGAAACTTAAGTAAGTCAGTGATATTCAAGTAGCTATGGACAAAGCCTTCAGGGTCTGTTTGGTATCAGACCAAATAAAATATTCAGACCCTACCACTCCTTCCCAGCAGTTCTACTCTTTCCACAGCAGCCTCTCCCACTCTTTAATATACCATCTTGCCTCTCTCCCTCTCCCTGTACTCAAGTAGAGGCAACAGCAGCAAAGAGCTTGAGCAAGAGGTAACTGCCAAGATGTGGCACAGAAGCAGTCAAAGGAGGCTCTGTAAGATCCCTAAGCAGACCATGGGAGATTTGTCCTGACAAAATCCTCCTGAGCTTTCCACAGGTTCTCTCAACAGTTTAGGCACTCCTAAATGCTTTTAAGTAATTTTAATTTCTATGGGTAAAAATAGCACCTCTCAGGGCCAGATAATGAATCTGTTTTCAATAGAGAACAGCCACTTGGGGATGGGTCTTGGCATCACAGTAGGTTGTAGGAATTCTTTATCTGGACAGGTAGAAAGCTTTGAGAGGTAAGAAACTGCTCATTTTGACTAAGTTTTTATGAGAAGGTGAAAAGCAGAAAAATACATTTGTGCATCCTAGTTACTGATGTTTTCTATGCAATTCAAAGCAGTGCAGGCCTCCAAAAAAATCCTTTGAAAGAATTTTTACAAAGCCTCTGTGGTCTTTGCCCTACAAAACACATCAGAAAACACTACAATAAGGTTGGATTACCATGAATACCTAGACTCAAGTTAGGCAACCTGTTTCAGTGTTTCCTCTCCAATACCCGTACCTCAAGAGCCTATAAAGTAACATGTCCAAATTCAGGCCTGTGCATCAAAATAAAATCTTCACCTTGCAAAAAAATATCCAACTTCCACTATGTGCTTTCATGCCTAGGCAAGTTGGGGAGGTAGTAATGGGCTTTAATAGGCACTCCCTGAAACTGCTACATACTTTACCTTCAGCCAAGGAGCATTCAGAAGATGTGACATTATTTTTCTCTGGAAAACATCAGAGAATGTCAGAGAAATTACTCTTCATCTGGCCCTCCTACTATCAGTAATTTGCTGATTTGACGTCATAAATAGAGTGAGCACAGGGGATCTTTGACAAAGAGATAACCGTATCCCCACTATGAGGAGTGCAGCTGGCAATTCAGCACACCACCAGTGGTATGGAGTGGAGCGGGGTGAGCACAGGGCTGGGGTGTGGATGCTGAAAGCTGGAATGCACTGTGGAGCCGGTGGGCCCCTGGGAGCTTTAACATGAGTGGGAGGAAGTGAGTGAGAAGATTTTTTGGGAAGCTTTTTTTTGTTCTTTTTTGTTATTGTTGTTTGCTTTACCCCAAGCCAAATGGGCAACACAGAGAAAGATGCAAGGTTTGGAGTATGTGTGAAGGGTGAAAAAGGAGCAGATAAAGAACAGGCTCCTGCCTCAGGTAGGAAAGGTGTTGGCACCCTGGGGAATATGAGAGAAGAAATGTAAACAAAAGGCACAGTTGTGCAAAGCCTTGGAACTGAAACAAGCACGTAGTTCATCTTTGATGTCCCAGGTAAGTGAAAAATAGTTCAAGTTCTTGGTGCAATAATACCTTGCTCATGTTGTGCATGCTGGCCCTGTCTTACAGTCTTACCCAGATAGATACTGTACCCTTTTGCTTCTGGGAAGCCCATTAACATCTGTGGAGCGAATATAAATGCAAATGACTGCTCACAATTCTTATTACAGAACAGTGGTCATTATTGACTAGGCAAGCATTGGTGGGCTCAGCAGCTGGAAGGACAAAGGTTTTCACACTGTTTTATATGAAAAAAGGAGCATGTTTCTCCCAAATTACTCTCTACAGTTCTTGGCAACAGAATGCTTTTGAAAAATATACCTTGTTAAATATTACCTTTAAGCAATTTACTGTCTTGTATGAGATCTGCTTTTTTGTCCTTGGCTATCTTAATGATGCCAATGCAAGCCCTGAGGAGTGCAAAGTAGGTCATCAGCTCAATTACATGTATGAGATGAGAAGTGGAAGGGAGTTTCCAGAAATAAAGGGTAAGTAATTCTGATGGTGACTCAAGGGATGGGAACTGTAACCTAGATACAGACAAAAGGATGGGACAAAGCTTTTCTGATTGTTGTGATAAGGATATTCTAAAGCCTCCAGGGAAATCAACCTAACTGTAGTCCATATAACAACACAAACCAATGCAATGCTATTAAAACAGATCAGTTCAGAGACGTGGAAAGAAAAAATGAAGATGGAATTTATACAGGTAAACTTTTCAGTAGCATGCAGAGTATAATGTGTGGGGACAGACTGCTGTTTCTAGACATAAACCTATGGACATATGGGTAGGTTAGGAAAGAGAGTCCACAGAACATCTGAATTGCTTTTGTGACAAGCATTAAATGAACTAAATTTCTTCTAAATGCTAAATCTTCACCAAAAATTAAATTGGTAATTATTCAGGAAGCTTGATTTTGCTATTTTTAATCATTACAAAGCAGATACTTCAGCACTGAAATGTATGGAATTATAGCATCTTAAAGTTGGTGCAAATTAAAGAATTGGGAAAAAAAAAAATTTACTCCAGACCTGGGAGTCACTGATGACCCAGAAAACTGGAAACTGAGGAACATCAGTTTTAATATAACATACGTAGCTACATTGTCTTACAATATCTGCTTTTGTAATGAACAGCTTCAATAAAGTCCTGGCTGTACACAAACCAACAGAAAAATTCAAAACAAAGTCAATGGGAAGGATTCTATAGTTTGCCTTTGACCCTTTTTACCCCTGACCTCTGCTCTGAATGTATGTCTGCTGCAAATCAGTTAGTTATTAATCAGTGTAAGTTCATAAGGCATGTTTGAATTAAAATTTGTTTGCCCAGCAGGCAGTTTCAAGGCTAATCCTGTCATCTTTTGGGAAGTGCTTCTCTGTTTAGGGAGGGTCTTAAAAATAACAGCATCTCCCACTCACTACAAAGGTTGGACCATACACAGTTAGTGTGTGCCTCTTTACAGAGCAGACCAGCTTTGACTTTCTGTTTCATGCATTTAGAAACTGGCTTCTGAGTTCCAGTTTGAATATTTCTAGTGAAAAGGAATTTTGGCAAAAAAGTGTTACTTGCAATGTTTCAGTTTAGAAAAGATCTTTCAAATATGAAAATGCAATTTTCATTTCCAATCTGTTCTATTTATTTTATAGTATTTTTACTTTGGAAAAATATTAAGGGCACCTTCTACTTAATATTAAAACATCTTTGCTTATTTTACTAAATTAGGTTGTTTGTTGTTTGTGTTGTAACCAACAGTTTGATATGTTGTAATTTAAATGACAAAGAACAGGCAAATGGCTTGTCATGTCACCATGCGTTATCACCATGTAAACACAGGAGAAAAATAAAGTCAAAATAAAATAGATTTTGCAACAGAACATCATACAGAAAGTGATTTAATGTTTTTTTTCTGAATCTAAGCAAAAGAATCAAATGTATATGTGAAGTTTCATCAAAACAGGTGTGAATTTCCTCAAAAAAGCTTACCTTTTCAAAATGTCTTGTCTGACAGAAAATTTTCATAAAATTTTTCCAACCAGTTCCAGCTGCTGACTTCAGGAGCTTTCCAGTATTCCAGCTTTCCAGACCAAGTATAAAACTGAAATACTTCTGTCTTTTTGAAGGAAGGACAAATTTTCTGTGGCTAACACTGTAGTTTTACTGATGTTATTCCTTACTGTGAAGCAGATTTGCGTGCTTGCAGTCAAACTCACGGGTTTGTGCATGGATGTTTTTTCAGCACATGTAGATTTATTTATTTTTTTAAAATAATAGAAATACTTTGTTTTAACAGACAGAAAACCTTAGGCACAATAGAAGTAGGAAGACAGCTCTTTTTGGAACAGTAATTACGCCAGTGACAACATATGTTAGATATTCAATTTTGAATTTTTAATTCAATTTATTTTAAATTTTATTTTAAATCCTCACTTGTTTGAGAAATCCATAGAAAAAGCATGAACTGTGAACCTCACTGAAACTGAAAGGAGCTTTTCTGTGGCCT